GGGAAAGGCAAGGGAAAAGCCAAATCCTAGTCCCTAGTAAAAACCTGGGGCTTTTAAAAATGATTTTAATTTTCCCCCAAGTTGTATTTTTCTGTTCCTTTCAATAAGTCCATAGCTGGCTCTCACACGAAAATTTAGTGTGCGAAATAAACTTTTGATTCGTCTGCTCAGCGCAGCGGTCAGACTTCTTTTTCTGATAAATTTCTCAGAACGTACTTTTCGTTGTAGATTCGAGCGGCGGACCACTTTGGTGCCTCGGAGCTTGTAGGCATGCAATATGCAAATTGCCACGTACGCGGTGCACATCCCAGATGAGGTGACGATGTTGTTGACGGTTTGGAACGGGGAAGTGTACTGGAAAGCAATAGGATTTGGTAGCATAATTGGTTCAGCACTTTAAGGCGGATATCAAGGATTGTCAGTAATTTTTCCATTTTTAAAAAGTTAATTTGGACTAAAATTTGACAGTTCGGTAAACCGTTGTTAATCCAGAATTTAAGGGTATTCAGCTAATTTTTTATGTTTTTCGGTTAAAAATTTAAAGGATAACGGCTTTTAAAATATGGCAAAATTAGGTATCGTAAAAATAGGGACAACACCGTTAGCTATCCAAAAATGATACCTCTAACTCCATTTTCCCCGGAATTAATGGATGATAGATCCAAGCTCCATAATCGACATTGAAAACCACAGACGGGGCTTTAATAAAAGCATAAAAGCCGTAGCAGAAACAGACGATGATGTAGAACCAGGTTTTTGTGCCCTAAAGTATTATTAAATTATAAAAATTAGTATAGAGTACCCAGGAAAAATTACAATTTAGACGAAAATACCTTAAAAAGAGCCGTGGCAAATCGTGGCTGCCAAAAATCGATTAGCCGATTCATGACGAGCAATAGGGATAGGCCGCAAATCGTCGCGAAGCACCCTGGAAGCCATAAATTTTGCTGAATTTACATAATTAAAAAGCTATAATCCTAATTTTTAAAAGAACTTACCAACAATCATGCAACCACTCAAATATTGTAGCATTGGATACATACAATATTCCGCACCGATTAGATAGAAAAATCCAGAAATTTCCGAGCTGAATGTTGTGCAGACAAGGTCGAGGATTCCTTGAAAATCATAAGATTTCGAAGGGCTTTCCAATTAGTTTTTGATTTTAAATTAAATTAAATTGCAGCTTCAAAGCTAAAAACTTAAAATTTTAACGCTTCTTACCTAAACACATCATAATCTTGTAACACGAAAGTTGTAAAAATTCTCGGGTGCAAATGACTGATAAGGCCAAGATGTAACAGATCTAAAATGTAATGTTATAATTCGCTTTGTTTCCATACATTAACAATATGCATTAAGTCAATACTCACCTGGAAAAACAGCCCGAGAAAAATATACAAAAGCCCGAGTACGATCTTTGGCTCGTGCCGCATCCGCAGCTCGTTGTAGGTGAGGTTGATTTTGCTGAAAACGGAGAGTATAGGTTTTTAAAAGTTTGTATATATTTTTAAATTAAATCAAAACTTCCGTACCTGCAACCCCACCGGGGATTTGCGTCCAGTGAGCCATAAGCCAAGAGCTCTTCCATCTCCTAGAAACATTGGAATTTTCGGATGGAGTAGAAAATTCCTCTAACAAGACGAACGAGTTGATCAACGAAAATCATACAGTTACAAATTTAGTCAAAGCCGACGAATTTTTTGCGGCTTTTTGGCTCAATTCATGCCGTTTGAATTAAAAAAAATTTAATTTTTGAATCAATTGTAGAATCCACTATCTGAAATTAGATGTCGGATTTTGGCGCTATTATTCAAAGCGTATTTAAAAACAGTTTAACGTAATTTTAGGAAGGAAGTATCCATTTCCGCGACAGTGTAGTGAATTTGGAAGTAATCTTCTCTACTGCCTCTTCAAGAAATGGGAAATTGACGAAAGCTTGGCCTCCCACCGGAAATTACCCTAGACGAAATCGATGACACTCTAGCGAGTCAGGAAGCTGTAATTTGCGCTCCATTAACATTTAGTATCCGGTACTGGGCTGTTAGCAGGGGGGGGGGGGCAATTTTTTAGGCATCTTGGTAGCCGTATAAAGGTCCCACTAAAGTAGGGAATTGTCGAAAAGCGAGCCCAAAATGGAAATTACATGGGAAGGCAACGAGCGTCTAGCGAGCCAGCCCCAGCCAGACAATGACTGGCGTGCACCCCGTTTAACCCTAAAGTGCCTGTGAACTTGGCCGGGCCCGATTTTCCCAAAACACGCGTTTTCCCCGGCAACACCATGTCCATTTTCACATGCAAATTGGGCAGAATTACTAAGAACATTTTTGCCCAACTCGTACCCAGAAAACGTTTTAGGAAGGGAAATAGGAAATGGGAACGCAAAGGTTATTTGCGGAACGGGGAATGTGTCGTCCTTCCGAGATTTTATTAGTGCCCTTTATGCAAGAGTAAATTTAGCAAAAATAGGAAAAACAAAAATAATGATAACCTCTTATATTAGAGTAAGATTTGGCGTTTGCGTTTGAGCAAAGAACTATTTTGAGCTTGAATGATTACACTTTTAAAAGAAGAAAAAATCTGGAGTTTTCTCTTGTCAATAGTTTTCTTGCAATAGCCATTTGAAAGGAAAAATCAGAGCTGCAAGTCTTTTTTTGAAAACCTGAAAACAACTCTGTGTATTATTGCAATTTTGATTTCAGAGCAACCGGAAATAACAGCGTAATTTCTAAAGCTTTTTTAGGTCTTTTCTCTAATACCTAGGTTTGCGTATCGGAATCAAACTTCGGAGATTTTCAAGTGGTTTTTTATGTTCTGCAAGAGGACGGAAGCATCCTCAACTCCCCTGGGATACTTTGTTTCATTTAATAAAATATTACTACTCGGAAAACCACTCTCTTGCTAAGTTTAGATTGTCCCGATGTTCAACTGCAACTGCTGCAACCGGTCAAAAATCCAACTTCGAACTTCACTAGTTTTGTGAATATTTTTTAAAGTGCGAATTTACAATGGTGGGGTTACTTTGGGGGACGATACGGCGTTAAACTTTGCAAAAATGATTCGGCGGAAAAGCAGCTGCAAGGAATTTTTTATTAGTGCTTTTCAGGCACTCTACTCGTTTAGATTTTAGAAAAATTTTATTTAGAAAAAATTTTTAGGCCAGAAATTTTAGAAAAATTTTAGAAAAATAAGGCCAGAATGACGTGTCTCCAAAATTCGTTTCATTAGAAGCGCGTTTAGAATTTAAAATATAAACGCTCAGGAAGCCTTTCTAAAAATCCGAGCTATGCAAATCCGCTTCCCAAATGGTACCTTGCCTACCGTAAACCCGATGGAGAAAGGCGAATAATAGGGATCAAAAACTGGAGCCGTCAATTCTGCACTGGGAGACAATAGTACAATAGCGTAATTTCCGGCTGCGAATTCCGCCTTTGGCCGATTTGCGCGGGACACGGGAGTACGCGTTGCTTTCTTGGGACCTTTATGCTTTATTCTCACGATATTCCACTTTTTGTACCTTGCTGGTACAGGCAGAATTAGCATCCGGAAATTGCGTTATGTACCGAGAACGGTAGGGAAGAACACGGAAGTATCTGAGCTTCGAGGAATCACAGAATTTTTTACCCAAATTCCTTACAAATCCCTAAATTCCTCAAAAACCTGTGCTAGATTATCTTTTTCATTGCTTTTTAGAACTTAGAAAATAAAAACATAACTTTTTTCATAAAAGTAAAAAATGAATCCTCGGATCGGAAGAAATGTGGTACAAATCTAAGATTTGGATTCTATCAGCCCTCAACAACCACGTAAACTCCTAAAAAACGATGCTAGCCTACCTCGCCCAGCCCTATTGGTTTTCCTTGTCTAAAAGATGCAAAATCGACCTTTTTACAAATGCTATAAAGCTTTTCGAATAAGACGAAGCGAAAAATCTAAAACTCGAAGTTTCTTTGGCTGTTCCAAGCAGGAGATCATCTAAAAATTAATAGGTTCAACCTAGAGCTTCGAATGATTGCCAAATTCCAGCTGTCACTCATCTGCGCGGGCGATCCAATTAGTCGTTGCAGCCGCCCTCGCGCCTAATTTGGGCACTAAACTAGAAGAAAGCTGGGGCGGAAGTGTGAAATTTCGAGAACATGAAGCAGGGAAGCATCCCTGAGCCTTAGAAAGAGGGGATACCCTGGAATTCGCTCCTTTTTTGCATTGCTGAGTTCATTACCGGGCTGCGTTCGTCATCCGAGCTGTTCGAGGAATCCTCTATGAAAGGAACCTTTGCAATCGACCTTATCCTGACTTTAAGAAGTCAACTATGATCATTCTGGGCTTCCCAGTCCGGGGCTTCCCCTGGGTCGTAGCGCCGGAAGAAAAATTCCCCTACCCTGTAAGATCGTGCAATCACAAGACCAAGAGTTTGTGCTAAAAAAAAGGTAGTTCTTGGAGCAAAACCATCCATAATTCTTTCGGTCCCGGGAATCGAATGGCAGTTTCGTAATAGTCTCGACCGGATGAGTACCCGTTTCATTTTTCTCTAGACGACGGTGGCTTTTCCAAATCGAGGACGCATTCTCAATTGTTGGTAAACGTGTACTTACCTTAACGAACCCTTTTCTGGTTTATCGTTTATATCGTTTTCCTAGCAATGCCCAATGCGGCTTTGTTGATTGCTGATTCTTGTCTAGCCCACAGGCTTCCAAGATTCTAAAACGCGCTTTCTCGTTTTTCCGAAATGAAAGCCCAGGCCGAGCAAAACCTTGAATTCCTCTTCGCGGTACGCTTTTTGAGTTTTATCGCTTGGCGCCTCCTCCGTGCTGACCCCCACCCCTTCTTACCAGTATGAAAAACGACCCTAATAAGCCCCGATAGGCTTATCGAAGCGGAAAAATTTGACAAAAACAGGTAGGTGGCCCCGACTGGGTGGTCCAGAGGGGCAAATTGGGCTTTAATTCGACTTTACCAGGTATTGAATTCCTACTAAATATCTGCTACTTCAACGATTACCTATGGGAGAGACGATCACCGTTTCGGGTATTACGGTTAGCCCTTCAATCGTAATGCAACAATATAATTTGCAAATTTCCGGAATAGTAAGACCCCTCCCAAAAGGGCTGATATTTGGCACTTCCGCGCCCCTTTAATCTATCGTTAAATCTTCAGGTTCACCCTAGCGAACTCGAACGGATTGTCAAATCAATAGACGGAGTATCGGATTGTGTAGTCGTTGGAATTGAGCACGAGATTAAAGGGGAGGTAATAAAGTAAAGAGTAATAAAGTACAGCCTTAAAAATCCGTATGCACGTTAAACGATGAGGTCAATTCACGGCTTTAGAAGCGTACCAGATTGAATAGTTCCATCATCGAAAGAGTTTTTCAGGTTCCTCACGCCCTAATCGTAAAAGGGAAGCAAGGGATCAACGATTGCAAGATTATGGCCCTCACAAATGGTTTGTTGATCTTTAAAGCATATTCCTTTACCAAAAAAATATCCATACGTCTGGCATCGGGGAACTTTCAGGCCAGCTTCCGCGACACAAACAGCTCGGCGGTGTGACTTTCATCCGGGTGATCCCCAGATCGTTGGCCGGGGAAGTCTCGAGGAACTTGCTAAAAGAATTATATTTCGGGCCTGGAAATCGGTTGAGGGCAAAGATATGAATAAATAAAATGAACTGATGAGCTGGAACCGCGCATTCACAGATTTTCAGGTAGGCCGCGGTATTTCAGCAAATTCAGTGTGTCCTTCGTTTAAACACAATAGGAAGCTTGGCAAAAATCGTTAACTTACGCTAGCTAAACTTTAAAATGAGACCGAGGCTGAGCCTAGCTCTAGCTGGTTATTTATCCATGAAACGTCATAACCCTATTTTTAATTCCTGTACCTTAAAAGCATATGTATCGTTTCTCAATTCTTGATTTTTCTGTAAAGCTTCAGCAATGATCAGGCTAACCCCTTTCGCGACAACGTAAAAACAAATAATTTGTGCAGTATGAGAAATTGTGATCAAAAGTCGCACGCACCGTTAGGGCAAGAATTAATTCGCTACGGGAAACGCGGCCTAGTGATCTCTCCAGCTTCATGATAGCTACAAGCACAGGGATCGGCTTCAAAAATCTAGCATTAAAAAACTTTGGGAGCTGCACGTTAATGTCTAGAACGTTCGAAAAATGTCTATAACCAGAATGCTGTCGAGTGGTGTTGAAGCGGGTGTCGAAATTATCCTTAAGGGTAAAGCTTAAAACTACCTTATTGGTGTTATCAACACACTGCAATGATCGGACCAAAAGTATCCATTTTTCACAATTCCGAGAAAATACTGGGCTCTCGAACCGCCACCGGATCCGCTCTGCACGCTCCCGAACGTGCACAAAATGGGCTGAACACCGAGGTCAAGCCATGATCAGCTATTTGGCCTTGGCAGAGATGGAAAATTGGACCATCACCCATTTCTGCAATTTTCCGATCGCCTGTTGCCACTTGGGCACAACACACTCCAAGATTTTATCACCAGATACTCTGGGCTACAAGGAAGGACTTTTTCATTTTGATCGTTAGTCCCGGAATTTCCTATGACTTCTTGTTCCAACGTAGCCATATTTTTTTATCTGGGCCACCAGAATGCGCACAACTCCAGACGGAATGCCATAAAAGCGCGTCGCAACATGGGGGTTACCCGGGCTTATCTGGCTTTGAACCCGGTGGCTCTACGCACAAATGAGTGGCATTTTCATAAATCGTCAGCCGGATCTTTTTGAACGTTGTGCTTTGCTTTTAAGCTTGGAAGTTTCTGGATATCTCTTTAAAAACCAGTATATCGCTCTACGTCTTATTTTTTGCAGGATGATCCTCCATTCAGAAGAAAAATACCCGCTCCCGACGTTGTCTGTTCCTCACCAACTTTTCGAGAGGATTTCGTATTTTTGTGAAAAATACCCAACTGCTATCGCACTGGTACGATCTAGTTTAAAAAAATGGAAAAAGCCTAGGGTTTCAGAGCGACGCCACAAATTACGACAACGTTTGGACGTATGCCGAGCTGAAAACACGATTATTGAAGACGGCCACTTTTCTCCGGAATGCTGGGTTTATGAAGGGAGATGTAAGATCTCCTTTACCTTTAGATACCTTTTGGAAGTACAGTTTGTTTTCGGAAATCATAGTAAATGGTAGCAACAACATTTTATAGGTCTGCGCGATCGCGATGCCAAACTGCTTCGAGTTCCTCAGCACCGCGTTGGGCGCTTGGTGTGCGGGGATGGTTGTCACCGGGATCAGCCCGGATTATACACATTGTAAGGTTAAACCCACATTTTAGGCCCTAAGGGAGTACCATCCGTTAATTAATTAATAGCACAAAATTTCATTCCGCCGTTTAGACGAAATGACCGAACAACTTGACGATTCTGGCGCCTCGATTGTATTTGCGACAGATCGAATTCTCAAAACAGTGCTAAAGGCTTCAGAACAATTGCCAAGAATAAGGGTATTACGACACCTAATTCTGTATAATTTGCTGTTTAGAAAATTGTCTCCGAAGGTGGCATCAATCAATTGAAGAATCCGAAAATTTCCACTTTTCGTGAAATCTGGGATTTGAGCCCAAACTTTGATCCATATGGAATAAAGTATAACCTTCGCGAGGATCTTGTGACGATACCTTACAGGCAAGTAGTTTAATTTTTGGCTGCTAATTCACTTAAATTGATACGAGCCACTCTTATAGCTCTGGAACGACGGGGAAGCCGAAGGGCGTAATGTGCACGCAGCTAAATCTGTCCTGCGTGCTGGAAAATATATCACAGTAAGACAGCAATAAAAAAAAGTAATCCGACATCTAGATCAGTGAAAAAAGCCAGTGAAACTTATGGAAAAGGGTCTCAGGGCGACTTTTTCCTCGGAAAAGCCTATATCGCGCTTTTGCCGTTGTACCACGTGATGGGACTGCATGCGTACGTTTTGACAGCTCTTACTTTTCATAAAAACGACAGTATCCACGTAATATTAATCCTTGTGATAACCATAACGTTTTAGCTCCACCAGCCTACTATGTTTCGGGCAACACATCGTTGTGATGCCAAAATTCAATCTTAAAATCTACCTAAAAGCTATAGAAAAATTTCGGGTAGGTCATTGCAATATAGTTTATCGTGGTTGACTTTCAATCCAGTATCATCCATTTATTCATCTAGGTAGAACGTCTCCTAATCGTGCCTACGATTTTGCAACGATTGGACGAATTCCCGACGCTGAAATCCTATGATTTGAGCTCGGTCAACACGATAATGGTCAGCGGTGGAGCCTCCTTACAGAAAACCAAGGAAAACGTCAAAAGGAAGCTGAATGTTCAGATCTTGCAAAGTAAGTTATTTATGCTTTTTTTTTTCTATAGCCTCAAGATGCCACATCGACATTTTTGTCAGGTTATGGCATGAGCGAGGTGGCGTTGGGCGCTACGAAATCCCTGCCAGGCGATCCGCTCGGAGCTTCCGGGAAGTTACAGGCCAACATGGAATTGAAGGTATCGTTTTCTCTCAACTATCCTATTCTTATAATTTTCAGGTCATCGATTCAACAACCGGAGAAATCTGCGGGCCAATGGTAGAAGGCGAATTGAGGTTGCGGGGACCAACGATAATGAGAGGGTAATTTTCTATCATTTAGTTTGGAAAAATACAGGGAAAGGATTAAGCCGATCGGGTAAATTATAAACCAGAACATCCGGAACCCAAGCCTTACAAGCAATAAGAAGAATTTTCAGGTATCTGAACCGGCCGGAAGAGAGCGCCAGCTGTTTTGACGAGGATGGGTTTTTCAAAACAGGTAAGCCCGAGCAACAGCTATCTAAGACGCAATAGATATATCCTACTATCCTACTATATATAAAAAAAATAGTGTTTGTGTGTGTGTGTGCCACTTTGCATACGTCATTGTGTGATACGTCATATGATACGTCATTAGGTGCGTAATGGTCTAGGGATGACTGCACAAATATCAGATTTGACAAATTAGCCATTTTCGCTATTAAATTTAGGTTTTTGTACAAAGCTCTTTGTTAGGAAGAATTAGCACAGACCGGAAGTGGGCGGTCGTCTATATAAACGGGCAGACGGGGCTGTTTTTCAGTTTTTTTTTTTTGCCTTCTGAATGAAGGACAATTATGCAAAGGGCGGAATCGCATGGGGGTCCAAGAGGGGCCAGGGTTGAAAAGTCGCGAAGCGGCTTTTCAACCCTGGTCAACCTATAAAAAGCTAAAACCCGATAAATTTACTTCTGCGGTATTTCATTAGGGCGCTGTACACAGTACAGGCCTTCCTAATGACACGAGCGACGGCCGCGCCCTTTCTTCCCTGTTCGCCCCGGCTTGAATTTTCCCGTTTCTAAAGCTTTGTAATGTGGTTCTATTATCATTGATAAATTTTTTGTAAGGATTTTTCCAGGAGATCGCGGCTACTTTGACCACAAGGGTTATATTTATTTTGGCGACCGGCAAAAGGATTTGATCAAGGTGAACGGGCGCCAGGTACGAATTTGAAATCCTTTCCAAAATTTTTGATTTCTAGGTATCGCCGGCGGAATTGGAGGAGGTGATATTAGAAATTCCCGGAATCCGCGAATGCATTATTATTGGGATTCCTGACGAGAAAACAGGCGAGGTACGCTTTAGGATCAGGATGTTCTTAAAAATCCTAATTTTTAGTTGCCATACGCTTATGTGGTATTAGAAAACGGTTCCAATGTGACAGCTGATCAGATAGCGGCTTCGCTCCATGGTAAGCTGCTCGTTCTTGAAAAAGCCATAATTTCCAGAGCGCGTCGCTCAGTACAAACGACTTGCCGGAGTCACGTTTCTCGCGGAAATCCCGAAAAACGCGATGGGAAAGAGCCTGCGGCGACTTCTGCGTGACTCTTACCTTGAGAACCTGAACTATAACAAAGCTATGGCAAAGCTATAAATTTGGTCGTGTTATACGTGTGAATAGTAAACTTTGAAACTACACCAACATTGCCCAGATGTTCTCCACTTCGTTCTTTTTACCGAGCAAGTTCTTGGGACTGCGCGCTCGGAAAAACTGTTCCTTGAGCTGAAACCTAATCTGCACCTGCGGAACTTCCTGAAATACAGTTTGTCTTGGCTATTAGAAACGCTGCGTTCCGCTACCTTTTTTTATAGGCCTGTTTTATTCTTAGGCCTGGGGGGGGGGCAATGAAGAACAGAATTTGGTACCCGAAATTAGCGCGTCCCCCGGGATCTAGAATTTTTAGTCGCCGATCCGGCAGAGCTCGGTTTCAAGCGCTACAGCGTGGTCTGAGACTGCCAAAGCCCAAGTTTTTACGCGCAGAAAGAACATCCCGGTCCATTCGACCCGGAAATGCGCGTTATCTTTGATTAGAGATTTTTATGTGTTTCCCTGGTATGTCCTCAGTGCTTCAGTGCTTACCTGGATTTAAATTCATTTGAAGGTGAGCCCATTTCAGCTCGTAGCGTGTTTGACGCTCTTTCGGGCTTACTCGTGTCCGTTTGCCTGGAAGATCAAGTCAACTAGTTCTCAAACGTGCCAAACTCAAAAAATCGTGTTGTCGCCGGCAAGCTGAAAATACGCTGGAATACATCGTTTCCGGTACCGCTGGGAATAGCAAAAAGTCTGAGGGCATAGAGCAAAAATAAAGATTGTCAAACTACAACGTCGTCTGTCCTCGTATTTTAACATACCTGTGCGACCTTTCCGCTAACCATTATAAATTGCATTGCTGCGGAACTCTGATGGTGTTCATTGAGTTTCCAAAAAAACAGCTTCTGCCGTACCCGGGCGGCTTCTTAGAGAATCATCGCATTTCCCAGCGTAATTCTACGGCTGAGAGTTTACCACAAAAATTTTTGAGGGCATCGAGCGGTTTCAAACCCTGTAAACACATCCTTATGACCTTAGTATTTTTGGGATCTGTTCGGGGGGACAGATTTTCGGTACCGGGGCGGCTCAAATAGAATTGTCAGATCAGGATAATTTTAAGCAGAAAATTGGAAAAATAATCTTTAAACAGAATGAGCTAAACAAAGTTTTGTCGCTTAGTAACTCCGTCAAGCACATGAACTGGATTTTGGCACGCTGTACCACTACGCAAAACTACGCAACAGCCCCGTATGAACCAAAAAAATGCGAATAACAATCATTCTTAGATGTTGTGTCCTTTTACACGGAGCCAATCAGCGATATGCCATTTTGAGCGAACAGGAACCGAAAAATTCCACCCTTTACCAGACCTGTAGCAACTCGCTTGATCACAACGGTCGCTAGTTAGCGCCCAAGAAAGCCGGGGCAAAATACAATACCGAAAGTTCGGCATTTTTGCAGTTCCTTTGCATCGATTTGTCGTTTCTTCCAGTTTCTTGCAATCCTTTACCCCAATTTTTCCGTGTTCTTTTATCCGATAAGTTTAGCGATGTTTTCTGATGCTGCCACTATAACAATTCACATGGTGCTATGTGGAATCGGTGGTTTTCTTAATATTCTAGCACTATATCTCATTGCCGCCAAATCGTCGAATCTCGGCGGGAAATATTCGTATTTTCTCTTCAGTTTTTGCGTTTGTAGTCTCATTCTTTGTATGGTCGACTTTTTGATAGTGCCGGTAGGGGTCACAATCGTTCTTTTCTCAAAAAGTATGTTCTAGACCACGATCTCCGCTGATAAAACTTATATAATCCTTGCTCAACGAACATTTTTCGGCCATGATACTAGCACCTACATTTTATTACTGCTCTACCTCTTTGTGTTCTCACAAACTATCGTTTCGTTGATGCTGCAATTTTTGTACCGGTACTCTGTCGTTTGCAGGTAAGTAATATCATCTTGGGTAATATAATTTTTTTTAGGAATTCACTACTCGCCAACAATTCTGGGCGCACAAATTTTATACTCTGCATTTTTGCTTCGATCTCGATCTGGTAAGTCTTTTCAAATGTATTGATGATCATATTTGAATTCCGGATTAGGTTTTTTTGCCTTTTGTATTTCATTCAAAGCCCGTTTTGAAACATTTTGACCGGCACGAAAATTGGCGTTCCCATCGCCACGTACTGTTTATCTACTTCAAAAATCAGAGCGGCTTGGGAGAGAAACATGCCTAATTTCCGTGTTAAATGTTTTTCGAAAAACATGAATCGGCGTGGGAAGAAAAACATGTTGGAGAGGGTTTTACGGGTTTGGAGAGTTCGGAAGACCTCTTAAGTGTGCGAACGGATCTTGTGTGAACTTTGTCTAAAGACGAAGTGTTTGCAGCACGATCTGGACGCTCGATAATCATATTTTCACGGGTCCCCAAGCCGTCGATGAACATGTGTGGCCCATTTTGGAACGAGTATTTTATCAGCAATTTGAGAGGAACATTAGTGGCGTGACGTTTGTATCGCAGACATTTGAGGTTAGCGGCAAGACTAGCTTATTTTAGTCAGTTCATTTTAGTTTTGCTAGATGCAAGATTAGTTATGTGCGTGATTTTCCAGGCCCCAGAAGAAGACCACGTCTACTTGGCTTACGTCTCGACGTTAACCGGCTTAAGCTTGCTGGTTATAACCTGGACTGTCATTATGGTGTCTGGCTTGCTGATTTATCAAGAATTGATGCAAAATCAAGTTGCGAGTCAGCTTACGAAACATCTTCAAAGAGAGCTATTTCATGCGCTGGTGATACAGGTATGTCGCTAGCGTCTTTGGGTATCTTAATAAAGGGCAGATGCTTCGAAGTGGTCGTTAAAATGTTGTAGTCACCTTTTTGAATGGTTTTGAGCGTTGTTCCTTCTACCTAAATCCGTTTGAAATCGCAGCTTCCGATTTCTCATTTCGTGAAGTTCCTAGAATAGAAGAACCCAGGACGTACTCACCAATTCCGCTTTCCAAAATTACCGTAATCTGGTACATGCTTTCAGCTAATTATTCCGCTCGTGTGCAGTTATATCCCGCTGGGATCCGTTTTTCTATCAGCCATGTTGGGCTGGGACCTAGACATCTCATTTGCCTGTTTCTTGGTCATTTTGGACCCGATTCTGGAACCGCTCGCCATTATCTACCTCATTAAGTGCTACAGGTAACTTGTGATCTGTGATTTTTAGTTTACATTTTTTCAGAAGAGTGATCATCTACTGGTTGACCGGTAAGAAACCTGAGAGTATATTGACGATCTCGCACCATTCTATCGAGTCGAGGCCCCGGAATCGGAGCCCGAGGGCTATGGCGGCAATATGAGGGGGAATGGGCAACCATAGAATAAATATGAAATTTTGAGAAGCACGAACCTGTTGTAAAGTGCGCCAAATTATATACATCCTCATACAATTTGGCATGATAAATGACAGACAACGATGAAGACCGATTCCAAAATATCGAGATTTTTACCACACTTGTTTTGCCTGCCGTAAACGAAACGCAGGTATCAATCGAAAGCTCTCAATGATACGAGTTTATATTTTTCTTAAGGAATGTGTAAATTTTAGCATTTTTGCTCATTTTTGTCGTTTGGAAACTAGGTTTATGCTCCGCACGGAGAAGAATTTGTTCAACTGGTTTTCAAAATCGTATCTTAGAAACCACGAAAATGGTACATTCTGGTTTTTACAAAAGAATCTTCACCGAAGAAAGCTCGGAACTTTAAACACAAAACAAAAGAAACTTAGAAATCAAAAATTCGAGATTCGATAGAACGGATTTTTCGCTTATTGACTGATAGCTAGATCGTGAAAATCGAACACTCCACCGGGTCACTATTAATACAGGGTGCCTTCTTCTATTTGTAAGACTTTAGTCATAACCGTGAAATTTTATATATTTTTTGAAAACGGGGACACAGTCCAATAGTATTCAGTATGGCGACCGATTTATGAGTTGTTGCTCATTTTTACTTTCTAATAAATAAGTTTAGGTGAGCTGAAGGTTCCTATACAAAAATTCCTACGCACTTTTCAAAGATCATCGTATCCTTGAGCCCAGCTCAAACAAACATGAGTAGTCAGCGTGATCCGCGTCTATTCCCTCAAAAATTAACTGCTTTCCGGCTGCAGTACAAACTGTGTGGGATGTTTTCGAGGAGCCGGTGGCTCTAGACAAGAGACAAAATCCCGTTCTTCTGATGTTTTCCGAGCAAATCTCAGAGCTCCTTCATACTATTCTATGCCCAATTGGATTTGTGTTAAATATACTGGCGCTTTACCTAATCGCTACGAAATCGAAGAACCTTGGCGGGAAATATCCCCATTTTCTGTTCACATTTTGTCTATGCAGCATAGGGCTCTCGGCTGTCGATTGTATTATTGCTCCGGTAAGGCATACGGCGTGCATATGAAATTTGCCGTGGCGCAACACGCAACGCGGGAAACAGCACTGTAAATGGCTTAATTAATTAACGCCTGCCGCGCCGCGGCACGCAACGCATGGAACAGGAATTCTCGGCGTAATCAAGTAAACTTTGGCGCATAGCGACACGCAACGTGTCGGAAAATCGATTAAATTATTTAGTCAGACCTCTTCCGCATCGCGGCACGCAAGGCGTCGAAAAAGCATCTTAGATGGCGTAATTGAAGGGTTTCTGACTTAAAAACTCTATGGCAGAATGAAGGTATATTTTCCATTCAGACCTTCGTAATCTCCGGCAAAACTTATCTATTGATTGCGCAACGCCAAATCTTTGACGTGTTCTGGCTGACCTACGCTCTACTCTTAATTTACATCTACATTTTCGCTCAGATATTGGTGCTGCTGATGTTTCAGTTTGTGTATCGATACACAGTAGTTACGAGGTAAACAAGCCTTTTTACATGTTGCAGTCACAAAAAACTTTCAGGGACTCCTTCCTCTCCAAAACTCCCGTTAAATTTAATACCATGCTGTGCGTGGCGATTTCCATATTGATATGGTAATTTCGATGGCTCAAGCGTTTAATCCTACTATATATAAAAAAATAGTGTCTGTGTGTGTGTGTGTGTGTATGACACTTTGCATGCAACTTCCGTCAGCGTGTCCGGAGGATATCTCAAGAGGGAAAGGGATGAAGCAGGCGTATGATACGTCATTAGATGCGTAATGGCCTGTAGATGACTGCACGCATATCAGATTTTGCAAAATCTATTGTTTTCGACATAAAAATTAAGTTTTTCCTTAAAAATCGGACAACCTCTTTGTTAGGAAAAAATTAGCATACGCCGGAAGTGGGAGTAGCCTATATAATCGGGGAGAGGACGCGTTTTTCATTTCTGTGACATAAAAGTGCGGAAGGTTTATGCAAAGCGAAGGATATCATAGCGTTGGACGGGGCCAGGGTTGAAAAGTCGCGAAGCGGCTTTTCAACCCTGGTGACTCTTTAAAAGTTCGATGTGGACCGCTGATAACTACTTTTTTAATGGTGTTCAACACCACCGGCCACAAATTCAAGTCGTATTAAACGCAGCTTACCTTCAAAATTTTGGTGAACCGCTTCAACGAGTCGTTTTTGTGGGTCAGACGTTTGAGGTAAGTTTTGGACTCATCGGTCACTACTAAAAATGATAAAAATGAGCAGCAAGCGCAAATTGTGCATAGATAGAAATAATACCAGGGTTGAAAAACCGCTTCGCGGCATTTCAACCCTGGCCCCGTCTAACGCACACATATTTCTTCCCGAACCTTGATTGCAGAAAAATGAAAAGGACCCCTTTACCCCCTTATATAGGCTTTCCCCACTTCCGGTGCATGCAAATTGGCTCCTAACAAAGAGATTTTCCGAAATCTTTACAAAAACCCAATTTTAATTGCGAAAACAGTAATTTTTCAAAGCTTTGATATGTGTGCACTCATCTCGGCACCATTACGCAGCCAATGACGTCTCATACGTACCCTAAAAACTTCCCCTGGGGCTGTAGGTGAGAGACAACCTCACGGAAGTTGCATGCAAATGCACACACACAGACACTATTTTTATATATAGTAGGATATAGTAGGATACATGTAATTTAGGACCTCGAAGCGACTGCCCCAGGCCACGTTGAGCACGCCTATATTTCGACCTTAATCGGGCTGGCTATGCTCGGCATAATTTGGGCAGTGGTTATGGGTGCCTGTTTTGGGACCTATCGTAGTCTTCAGAATGGAGAGGGTGTTAGCAAGAAGACGAAGCAGCTGCAGAGAGGATTATTTTATGCTTTAGTTATACAGGTGAGAGAGAAAGTGAGAGAGAACGAGAGAGAGCGAGGGGGAGCGAGGGAGAGCGGGAGAGGAAAAGAGAAAGAGAGCGCGAGTGAGAGAGAGAGCGCGAGAGAGACAGCGAGAGAGAATGAGGACGATAGAGAAAGAGATATAGCGAGAGAAAGAGAGAGTGAGAGAGAGAGGGCGAGAGATAGGGATGCCCACTCTCTATAACCCCATTCCTAGATGCTCATTCCACTCTTCTGCAATTTCCTCCCACTCGCTATTTTATTAGCAGCAGCCATGTTCGAGCTTCCGAGCTGGTTATCAATCATTTGTCTACTTATCCCGTTCGATCCAATCCTGGAGCCCATAGCGGTTATCTACTTCATTAAATGCTACAGGTAAGGCGACAGAATTGTTCCCGGGCAAAGACGTTTTCAGGAAAGTCATTATCTCCTGGGTCAGCTTCGGAAAACCCAAGAACGTCCTCCAGATCCAGCACTATTCAACCGAATCGGGAAGGCAACGCGATTCGGATCGGCAAACGGCCTAGAATAAATGTTTTGGGAAAACTTTTTGTAAGTATTACAGGGCAATGACAGGGAAATACAGGATAGTACCCGCGAAATGCCGACAACCAGTGCTAGCAAACTTGTCGGCTCGCAGAATTAAGGGGCGGAACTGCCGGTGTTAAAAATGCCGAGGACCTCATTGTCTACTTCCAAAAAATTCCGTGGATAGGGATGCTGAAATTGAAATCACCGAAAAAAATTGTAGACCATCAAAAATCCCACAATCAGGATGCCGAATGACGCCCATCTCTCCCCAAATTGAAATTTCCTCGGCTTCCAGCATAACGATGTGGGTTTCGGCATTCTTGCCATCGGTTTTGAGTGTCACAGTTCTTTCCTCTCGGCATTTTTCATGTCACTAGTTCCGCAGAAGCGCGGCCAAAAACTCTTCCAAATCAAAGATCGCAGATCCGCCATTCTAGTCATCAAACGGAATTCGTTTCGGGATCCCTTGTGCTGTATGACTTTCCGGGAATCAAAATACTTCTTACCTCTCAAAGTTCCGCGTTGACCCTCTGTACCAAGTTTGGCCCCGGGTTCCCACGATGACTGAGGGGCGTTCTGAGGAAATTTGGGTGAAGAAGCCGGTCGGCAGTTGGTGAGAAATTTGTATCCGGGGTTGGGAGTAGACATTTAAATTCCGGCTGATACGACCTGTTCACCGAGCTTTGAGCCATGTTTTCGGAATCTACTACTAAACTATTGCATAGTATTTTATGCCCATGCGGGATATTCCTGAATATGATAGCCCTGTACCTGGTTTCGACGAAATCGACAAATTTGGGTAGTCGATATTCCTATCTGCTTTTTGGGTTTTGTCTTTGTAGTATGCTGCTGGCGATAGTGGACTTCTTGATCGTGCCGGTAACTTTTAATAACGTCAGCTCTTGTTCCGCGCATTAATGGAACATTTCATTTCAAGAGAAGGAAAGGTAGAGTTATGGATTTCTTAGCTAGCGATAAGAAGACGTGCAGATTTGGCCGCCACCGCGAGACAACGCGAGTACTGCTTTGAGGGCGTGAATTAGTGCTAATCCATTACGCTATAAATGGCAGGCTGCGCGCGTGCGCATGCCATTGCGTAGAGATTCGAATCCCAAATAAAATCATAGTTTTGCCTTGCGCCTCCCTTTAGACCAGAATTTTTTTGTTTGTAATAACATTAACTTTCCACAAAAGTTTGGGTATTAAAAACAAATAAAATGATAGTCAAGTATGAAAAATTAGTTACATTTAGACAAAAATCGCATCCGGAAAATCCTGGTTGTTACTTGCCCAGCGCAATGTCTTTGAGAGCCGGACGTTGACCTATTGTTTACTGATGCTCTACTGCGGCTTATTTGCTCAAATCCTGGTTTTCTTAAGGTTTCTTTTCCTCTATCGATATTCTGCAGTTTATATGCAAGTTTAATACAAAAAAACTTAACGCAGTCCTTGAACGTCTGCGTGGCTTAATGTTTAAAAACGCATATAATTTTAGTAACTCCCGGCTTGCCCGAAACTCTTTTCGAAAAAATGTCGTGCTATCGGTGATAGTTTCCCTCATATTTTGGTAAGTTGTCACCAATTTTTCGATGCGTTACGTCATCTTCTTGAAAGCCATCTAACCAGAAATCCGGGCCCTGATCGCGCAGTTTAATGAACTTTTGAGTCCCCAGAAAGGTACTCCACCACTTCCCAGACGCCAATAGCTGTTCCCATGTATATTAACAAATTCCGTACGCAACCCTTCAATTTTCGGGGGCAGAAACTACCAAAACTCGAAAAAAGAGACATATGATCACTGAACCGGATCCAAAGTTTCGAATTTCGAATCCGATGCCGAAAACCGTTGCCATATAAAAAGTAGCGTACAAAAAAGTAAAATGGCTACGGTCTAGAATATCAATTACTGCGTATACATAAAAATAAAAAGAATCAGCTTTAAAAAACTTCGAAGACATAAGAAAGCGGTGGTCCATGCAAATTTAGTTCGGTATGGCTGATCGACACTCACCTGATTACCGGATGTACGATGCATCGCCCCGATACTTTTGCGCCGTTGAACAGGATCCACCAGCAAGAATTTGGACACGGCCTGGAAGGCGTCAGCTGTATTGGACAAACTTTTGAGGTATCTGCCTTGAAAGTAGGGTTGTTTCTCGGAACAGGCCGAGATTCGGAACATTCGGAACAGCAACCGTTCCGACTGTTCCGAATGTCGGAACGGCCCGAGATTCGCGTGTTCCGGGCCGGCTTCCGGCTGTTCCGAGATTCGGAACAGTCCGAGATTCAAATGTTGCGGTTGTTCCGAGATTCATAGTGTTCCGACTGTTCCGAGATTCGGAACCGTCCGAGATTGAACTGTTCCGAGATTCAAATTTTTTCGCATGTAAATTTCCAAACACGACTGAATTTCGATTCGATTCGATCCCCAATTCGTTCTCATTTCCCTAATTTCCAGATTCGATATCTAACCATCGACGGAATTAGGTGTTAGTTGCGCCCACACTGCCGTGCCACGGCAAAATCGAAACGGTTACATGCAATCTACACAATTTACACGAAATCGAAATTTACATGCGAAAAAATTTGAATCTCGGAACAGTCGGAACAGCCAAATCTCGGAACGTTCCGAATCGCGGAACAGTCGGAACACTATGAATCTCGGAACAACCGCAACATTTGAATCTCGGAACAGCCGGAACACGCAAATCTCGGACCGTTCCGACCAGTCTTTGTTCCGAAAGTTCCGAATCTCGGTCTGTTCCGAGAAACAACCCTACTTGAAAGCCATGTTTATTACCTAAATTACGATTCGTAAACTGTATCTGCTTAAAAAGTTATATTTTTAGAACACCGGCCCGTTACACGAATTATTTGCATATGCCTCAACGCTAACGAGTATAGTTTTTCTCGGGATCACCTGGGGAGTGATTATGGCTGCCGGGATTGCGATATATCATACTTTACATGCTAGCCCACATGCTAGCAAAAGGACAAAAATGTTGCAAAAAGAATTATTTCACGCGCTAGTGATTCAGGTTGGGTTGAACTATAAACTACAAACGAGCAGAAAATGGCTTTGATGACAGCTAAATAGAAAGCTGGGTGTTTTTAGCTCATCATCCCACTCGTGTGCAATTATAGACCACTAACCGCAGTGTTTTTCACGGCCATGCTCGAATTACCAGTCAATATATCATTTGTATGCTTTGCCATTATGTTGGACCCTATTTTCGAGCCCATCGCGATCATCTACCTCATCAAGTGCTACAGGTACAGCTAACAAGTTTAAGAATTAAACAATTTGCATCTGCTCGTCCCAAAAAGCAAAAACACTAAAAAAATGTCAAAATAATTCCGTTATTTTAGGAAAGTGGTGGTTTCCTGGTTCAAATGCCGAAAACACGAAAAAGTACTCCACATCATCCATCATTCCATCGATTCCATTAAACCGCATCGACAAGTGTATCACAGTGCGGAATAAATATTTTTTGAGAACCCAAGAATGAATATTAATAATTAATAGTAATTAAAAAAGTAAAATTAATAACTCAGGCAAAAGCAGTTACGCCATAAAATACTGATCAAATTTGGCGCAATTTACGTAAAATTTTCAAAAATAACCAAAACTCCCTCACTCCGCCCCTTGCCGTGCCTAGGGGATGACTTGAGCAAGCCAGAGCGAGAGGGTGTGTAGACCAGAAAAAGGAGGACATTTAGAGACTACACAGACATGTTCCATTTCTATAATTAACTAATAGAAGGCCTCCTGTGAATATTCGCCCGTCTCATGCCGTATTTTAAGCTATATCTGGTGCGTCCCAGGAAACGATACGTAGTGATAGGTATTGAATGTCTTGCACCAGTTTTTCGCGGTCAGCGGTTATCACAAACATCCTAGGCGCCTCGCCAGTCCTCGCCGTCGTTGAGCTGCCATTTCTATCAATTATTCATAACCTAATACTGACCTAATACTGAACTACTGACCATTCATAGAACCTTATGTATTATTTAATCGATAGCTAACCGCCGACATTTTTCTTATTTTCGAATAGCGTTACTGGTTTTTAATAGCGCAGGTTTTTTTACAGTTTTGTATGTATAGGCGGCTTGAAAGCGCGAAAAGTTCGAGTGTAATTACCAACGCCCAATTTCTTACCGCATAAAATGGTCAATCAATCCTCACCTTTGCACTCTGTGCACCTTTGTACGCCGTTGCCCGAGTTTGCGTCTTTTTTAACCGTCTTTCTCAATTCTAGAACCTGTTGCACTTCATTAAATAATAGCTACTGCCTCAATATCACCACAGTTTTACGACGCTGATCGCTCCTGCATTACCGACGCTACCATTGTTCTCGAAGCTCATAGAAAATTTAGCCCTTTGTCGGTTCTATAATTTTTTTTTGATGAGTTTTTTCTAGGGCTTGAACTTTTTTGTGAGAATTTATTACTTCCACCATTCCGAAAATTTCGATTTCAAAGTCCTTAGACTCAGCAAAACACAACAATCAATAAACAAGCATGCACGGATAGGCATGAAACGTCGCGTATACGTACCTATAAGTTTTTCTACGTTGCACAAGGCGTTTTAGCCCTTGAGTCATCGCTCGCCGAAACTCTGATGCCCATTCGATCTTTGGACCTCTTTCCAGTGCATAGAGAAGAAAGCCCGGGCCCTGGGGCAAAATCATCAGACCCTAATTTCTGACACAATAAAATTGTGGATCGATGGTGTCGGGGGCTCATTTTCTTGTGTTGTAGCTACGAATCTTCTACCGTTTTTCGCGCTTTTTCTTTGCGTTAACTGGTTTGAAGGAAATAAAATATTTTGCAAAAACGATTTAGACGTAATAAACAAGCTGAAGTTTAAATAAAATCTAAAAAACTTTAAAACAAAAAGGTTGTAAATTGCTGCGCTAACCGCAACGTTGCTTTCTTATTTCTATAGATGCCTATACTAACTCCAATTTTGCAAATGCAAAAGTCTCAGTTTTAAGATATGAATATTTTTCTCGCGGCTTGTCGCCGTTCCAAACTTTGGCGGCTCGCCGTGTGCATCGCAGCTATGTGTTGTGTTTATAGGTTTCGATACGCATGAATACGTTACAGTGCTATTTGACACCCTGTGGACGAAACTTTTGTGCTCTATTTCGTTCTTTTAATCTCATAGCGCACAATAATTTAGAACGATACGAATCGATGACGAAATCGTGGGTAGTTTGTTTCATGTTCTCTCATTTCCTCGCTTCTACGTTTCCTCTTTTTTCTATTTCCAGTTTTTGCGCAAGAACGTATCTATCTGAGCTATCTTTCCAATTTTCTACGAAGCACGCCAGTCTAATCTTTCATTTGCTAAATTTGCACATAGTAGTTCCTTATCTGATCTTAGTAGTCCCTTAACTTCTCAAAGAAGATATTCTTTAAGAGATGCCCCTCTCAAGCTGGCTTTTGCTGCTTTTTGCGGCGACTTTTGCGCTGGCCCAACCACCGCCGCCTCATCCCGGAAATCCAGGTGCTTGATGTTTCATTCAATTAAATTTGAGCTGGCAAAACAGTTCTGACGCGTACAAGTTTGACATATGGCCTGCCACTAGTGCCTATCTATTTAATGTTTTTTTTTCAGGACACCGACAATCTGTGAGTCAAAAACCACTTGCCGCGGAATTCACGACCTCTCCAGACATCATACAGGTAGGGTTATCGCAGTAGGCGCGCCTGTGTTACTCGGTTTCTTACGATGTAGCTCTAACGACGCTTTTACAGACCGAACGTCTCAACCAAGTCCGGATCCGAGACACTGCGCACGAAGGGTCGGGGCTTGACGTATACCATGCCCCTTATCGTAAGTTGTTTTATAAGTCGGGAAATCCTGATAAGTAGTAGCAAAATTATACTTGATTGCGTCTGGTGGTCGAAAATTTGGTGAAAATGTAATGTTGCCGCAAGCTCCTGAGAAACCAATTTTTTAGAAGAACTCCAGCCCGGCACATCTTCGGCTTTACAGGGTAAGCCATAATGCATCTATATTACAGATGCTTAGATGATCCAACCACTGCCGATAACCACCCCCTCTACGACGGTTGGATTCCTAAGAATATGTATCAATCAGGATTTCAGAAACGCCCCCAAAGCGTAGCAGGATGGAACTGGCGCCGAATCAGGTTATATACAGGGTGTCCCAAAAAACCCATTCGGTCTTGCGCGGCTTTACATCCAATCGGTCTCAAAATTGGACCAGAGCTGTATGAGACCCTAAATAACAACAACCCGGACGAGCCTATCGTTAGATTAAATTTCGTCTTACAGCAAAAAATAAACGCTATTTTTCGTTTTTCGAGTGGTTGTCGTGAGATCTGACCCTCAATATATGAAGCGAAAATTATACGGCAAGTCTTCCTTGCCCGAAAAAGTTTCTTCCGAACTAAATTAAACAAATAAGCGAGGCGATTTTTGCAACGCCAAGGTGCCCAAGCTTTTCAGCGGAATTTAAATCGTTGGAAATCGATGCGAAGTGCAAAAAGAAGGCGGAAAAACTGTTTAAAATGGCGGGGAAAAGCTTTTTCGTTATGATTCAAGAACTATTTAGTTGGGTGTTATATGTCGGGATTATTGTTATTTAGTCTCTCATACATCTCTGGTCCCACTTTGGGACCGATTGGATGGATGTTAGGCGGCGAAATGCGCGATGGGTCTCTATTGGGCTCCCTGTAAAGTGTAGGAATTTATGCACTGCTTTGCCAAAGCCCTAACTGAATTAAGGATAAGCCTTTGGTCTTTAGGCCAGTTCCAGCCGCTTCGACGCTGGCGTGCCAACACGAGGTATGAGCAAGCTTAGGTTAAAAGAAAGATTTCTAGGAGAAAACCAGCCGTCTGCGCAGTCGGTCCGGCAGAGTAGCCACCAACCAGGAGAACGGCAAGCGCGTAAGCAACGGTGTTTTAGATTAGCGTTTCCGCTCTTTAGCCGTGCAGAACAGCGGAGGGGAGCAAGAGCCGGAATCGACGTGGTGCTATATATGTCGTGCCTTGCTTCCCTTTTGCGGTAAGTACCCAAGCTCTGCAATATTCGGATTGCGGAAATTAAGAAGGCGCCAATATCAGTGCTTGTTTTAGCGATCAGTGCTCATTTCCTCTATCATCACGGGAGCAACACAAATCCAACGGACCGTGACGCTGAGCTTGATGCGCAACCAGGTGCAACGTGCCGGGGTCAAGGTTTTTTTTGAGCATTGCATATGATTAACCTAAAATAATTCTCTCCAGAAAGGAATGCGCACGACGACGCGCATGTGTACGAGCTGCTCGAGATGCCTGGCCCCAGTTCCACACCTGGTTCCGCCACAAACCGATGTAATGACCTCCAAGGTATTTTATTTTTGTGCGGGGAGGGCATCTCACTTTCTAGATTATAACTATTTCTACGACCCTACCTCGGCCGTCCCTATAGAGTGTCATGAACGTGGTGGTACGACAATCTTACTTGCTAACCCCCCTACTTGCTAGTTTCAATGGCAGGGTGCGATCGCCAAGTGATCTCCGGCGCCAGTCCGGCGCCTGCTGTCACCCCTGTCCCACCAAATACAAGCCAAGGTATTTGTTCTTAAACCATATGGGGTTGCATGTACTGCTTCTTATACGCCGGTGTCAAGTTTGCCTTGTCACAAAAATTCCTAGAAAAATCCTCCAGGGGCGCGGTTGTCCGCAAAACACTTCAGAGCGCAGTTTCCTCCTCACAATACCATTTAGTAGAGAATATCTACAACCCTTACACTCCTCAGAATTTGCCTAGCACCAGCTATAGCGATGTCGACAGCCGGGCCGGCAATCATCAACCAGGTAACTCATGACAAAACGCTGATTTCTTCAGGCCACAAAATTCGTATCGTGAAATTCTGTTTTGTATCTCCCTTTACATCAAAAAATGTTCCAGCACCGTCCCCGCTGAACCCTAACTATCAAGGAATGGCTCCCACTTCATCAGGTACTGGATTTTCAGAAAAGTTTTTCCTGGATTTGGCACCACCAAAAGATGCGCGTATGTACTGACAATGCGCTTTTTAGGCACCGGAAGTCACTTCATGGCGCGCACCCCGCGTCTTCCGGAACGTTATCGCGAACCAGATTTTCTGGATGATGAACAAGAACCAGGTTTAATCTTTTGTTTCATTAATGAGCAGGCGGCGTCAAAACCAATTTGATGAGAAACGCGTCTAGCGCCGTTTCCTGAGTATTTTCTAACGAGCGGCCATTTAAGCAATCTAACAACAGAGAAAATTTAGGCCCATCGCAAGTCGTGTTGCCCGAGGGACTAAATTTACGAGTTCGTTACGTAGACAAAGATGGAAACCCCCAGCTCCGGACGCAGTGGGAAAGTCCGATATTCAGGTTCGTTTGAGACGATCACAAGCATAAATTCTAAATTTTATATGTAGCTGTTTTGCAAATCGATCATTTAGTTGTTTGCCCGATTGGCTGGAAAGTAGGCGCAAGGGAAACAAAGCGTTCGTCCCACGTCATTTGCCGGTCGTCCCGGCCCCGGATATCTTGTATGCAAAAAGAGGCAACGGCCCCAAGGTTGGTGCACATACCCGCTAAAAACCTTAAGAAAATACTAGCAATTGCCAATTCTACCACGAGGCCCTGAAACCCCTTGTTAGCCCAATATCCTTTACCTTGAGAAAACATGTCAACCTGCCTTTTTGGAGAGTAGCTATCCAAATTTGATTCTAATGAAAATTGACAAATTCCAATCCATGTTTTTCAGCGGAAGTTCAAGAACGAGATCGACTTACCGCATAAACTGACGCCGGTTCAATACAACACCATCTACAACCACTTATATTACGAACACGGCGGCTTAAAGGTATGAACTTGAAATACCAAAGCTTGAATTGCCACACCAATACCTTGGTGATCTAATATTACTAAAAAAGACTGTTTAGTCAAATGACATCCCGGACACTGACCGATATCCTGGAGACCTCCGAAAAGAATTTGCCGATTATCGACGTGCCGTAGAAGCGACCCAGCTTGATGCTCTGCCTGGAACAAGGCATTCCACCATGCTGCAAGCTGGCCCCAGTGACGCTGCAGAAACCTTTGAATCCACGAGGCACGATGCGCATTGCCTCCTTCATATGACAGAGGAGGGACAAATTGCCAGGGATCAGGTACTAAAAATTTGTTCGGGCCGTTGACTAAGACCGCGACGCCCATTTTTGGCGATTTCCGTAAGCTTCGTGCTAGTCGCTGAATTCGTTAAAACCGTAGTTTAATCCTCGCATGACTGAAAAATAATATGCCATTGCCAAAAACCAGTCAAAGAAAAATTGTTTAGATGAGCGAAGAGCAACGCGACAAATTGAAGGCGATTTACGCCGCCGCGGCGAAGTTCTGGATAGTGGTCGTCAGGTCAGTACTTTAGCCGGTCTTACTGGCTATCATGCTGCCGGCTGGCACATCAACTACACGTGCTGCAAGGTTTGCTTTAGGCGGATTACCAACAACTGTCACTCTGACGTCATTCGTCAAGGGCATGCGGAGCAGAGGGAGGCCGACGATCAAGTCATTCGCGAAGCTGTGTGAGTCCTTGCAGAACCTTGTGGGCCGTTATTGTTAAGCGTTGTCATGGAAAGAAAAATATTTTTAGAGAGGCTCTTCGACATGGCTTAGCGCCTCGAGGCGACCTAGCCAAGTGTCACGCGATCCTAAAGCTGGTGAGGGCTTTTAATTTTAACGAGGGTAGATTTTAGTATGATCTCGCGGACAGGTTGATGAAGACGGACGACAATAAAAAGCAAACAACACCCGCAGCCCAAAAATGACCATCGAAAACGTAGCCGAAAACGAATGAAAGCGACGACAAATATGGCCCAAATGCTAAGTTTCTGCTTTACTTCTGATACCATGCCATTTCCCACGGTATTTCTGTAGGAAAATCCTTCATAGATCTAGTACGCTGACAGTCATGGTTTTTCCGTCTCATCGGAACACATAAGATAGCCGGCAAGACCCATTATTAATCCTAACCTATAAGCGAGAAAAGTATGTCTGTTTTCTGTAATGACGATTTCTTGGCCGTCAGGCCGAATTTCGAGCTGATTTGAAATAAGATCATATTTAAATATGATTTTCTTCGATCTATAGCTTTTAGCGTATTTTCGATCCTACATCGAATAGCATTTTGAAAATTTTGATAATATTGGAAATATTGAAAATCATCCGTTACCATGTGGTGGCCGTAGTTTTGAACCATAAGTAGTAAAGGTTGCAACTTTATTAATTATTTAACTTTATTAGTTTTGGCGTTGTTTGCATAGATTGGCGTTGCAATTACGTTGCATAGATTGGCGTTTTCGGAATATCGAAACTCGCAAAAATGTGGGTCTTCCCCCTGTTTTCTCAATTTGTTTCACAAGCCAATTTCTTGGGCTGAAATTAATTCCCTGAATATTATTTTCGACGCACTATCCGATAGCAATTGCCAGATCGCGCGTTTCTTTAAAATATGACAAACAATTAGTGCCTCCCGTTATTTTATCCCGCCTCCCGGCTATCTTATGCGTGCCCCCCTGTATCTCCTACTTGAACCAAAAATTATCGTACAACCAACCAAATTGTCCACAAATACTAAACCACACCATGACTGCCCGCCTCCCACGCTGCTACGCTCATCACTGCCCGCTTTACGTAAAGGCGTAGCTTTACTTTCTCGAGGGCAAATACTTCAAGAAAGTTCTGGATGTCCTAAAAAGTGCCCCTCTAGCTAGCCGAAGCTGCGTCCGATTTACACAATTTAGTATTTACCCAATGGAAGCAGCTTTATGCGAGTATAATGCCATATTAATAACTGGTTTTTCGCCGACGTTTACCCCCGTGTTTTTTCACGTAACGTTTAATGTCGGGCTGCCTATTAAAAAGAACTCGGAAGCCGAAATCTTCTCATTTTGTACAAATCATCTCGCTCCGACCATTCTGGAACAGCTAGACGAGGCTCTTTTTTTTTGCACACCCAATAGACTTCCGCACCTAAATTCTCCACCAATTTATTTTTGGTAATGCCACAAAAATCAATTACATCTTTTGTGATTACATTAGACAGCTGGGTGGATTTCCGATTATCATTATCCAATGACAATTGTGAATACGGCATTAATTTGAAATATTAATAAACCCCTTGCACCCCCTTTCCCTCCTCCGCCTCGCTCCTCCCGCCCGGTTTACTAGGTGTAACTAAATTTTAACCCCTGTTGTTCTGACAATGTTGTTGTTATCGACTCGAAACCTTTGCCCAGAGTACCCAATTTTACGTGTAAAACACCACCTGATGGCCGACCTCCGATTGCTCGTCATTTCTAACTTGGATAAAACTTATAACACGTATCCAGCTTTAAACCTTGAAAGAAATATCAAAATTACGAACAAATAGTTGAAGACCAATGAGCGGAAAATCCGCTAAAATCGGCAGGTGTATAAACCATAGTCGTGGAAAAACACGACAATTTGTTGACCAAACGCCGCCATACATTCTGAGGGAAACAGGTGAAAACGGTAAAGTCGATTCCGTGGGGGTCGTCTGCCTTCATATTTTGACGCGGAACCTGGATAGACAACCTTAAAAAATGGAAGGACTTATCGATATTAGTCACTATCCAGCCGTGCATTCCGTTTTTCGGTTTTTATCAGGTGAGGTAAACCTCAAAAAAACAAGGGTTTGCGATGCCTGTGTTTCTCGTCCGCCTTCAGAGGTTTAGCTGTTAGCTTTGCAATCTAAATATAAACTGCCTATAGAAGCCATTTGAAAAAAATAATTGCTAAAGCAATTTAGTTCCGTTTACCCTGATCAATATTCTGGGGCTGTATGTGATTTGGAAATGTACGCCAAGACGAGTTGGAAGCTACAAAAACTATATGTTGTTTTTACAGGTAAATCACTCAAAACTTTTTTCGTTTAATTGCTATCAAAATTCCGTCATTTCCAGCTAAACGCCATCCTCTACGACCTCATCTTCTCTTTCCTAATTTTCCCCATATTCTCATTCCCAGCGGGTGGAGGCTATTCTCTGGGTTGTCTATCCGAGCTTGGGATTTCAGTTTCGGTTCAAATGGTAGGTAATATTCGTTAGGCGTATTTTTAGTCCTTTGCAGCATTAGTATGCCATCTTTTAATGGATAAGGTTCCAGTTTAAAACATTTTTTAGCCCCTCGGCTTCGCCACCGTCGCGGCATTTCTATCAGCCCTGGGAATCGCCTTATTTTCAAGGCAACAAACGATACTCCATCATGGTCATCGCTTCAAATATTCTGAAGAGTAAGTTAAGATATAAATCCTGGCTAAACAAGAAGCCTTACTTTTATGAGGTCTTATTTTTCAGGAAAGCTCTCCGAATTTGTGTACTTATCACGTTGCACCCATTTTATCTGGTGGTACCGGCCGTACTACTAGTCATGTACTTCGTTGACACCACTAAAGGAATGGCTTATCATTATTCGGTATGTTAAATCAACGTTAATTAACATATATACTTTTAGAAATATCCTCTGCTCGAGGAATTCTTTGTACAACCCACCTATTACGCTGTAAACGTCGAAATGAAATACGCCTGCATCTCGTCCATAAATCTGATGTTATTTTTGACGATTCTGGGATTTGTTTGTATGTTAAGCAGTTATAGAAGCGCATACCACTTCTTTTTCACTGCCTAGTTTAGGCAATTTGGTTCCAGACCTGATCACCCCCACTTTCCTTGAGCTCCAGAAGCTCAAGAAATCAACGATCAGCCAGAAAACGTTAGAGCTACAGCAGAAATGGCTGAAAAGCTTGACGATACAGGTATGCAAAATATGAAAACCTCAAGTTCAACAAGTAAAATTAGTACCTAACAGAATTGCTCACTTTCTAGACCTCAACTTTCCTAATCCTCTTCGTGCTGCCGATGTTTTGGTATGGAATCGTGTTCTTCACGAAGAATCAAGCACTAGCAGGTAAGAGAGAGAATCAGCTTCAAACAACGCTCGAAATTCAGTTTACTCGATCTGGGTTTCAATCATCATCTCTTGCCATGGCACCGTCTCTACCGTGGTGCTCTTTGTATTCTACGAGAACTATCGACGTTTCTTTACGCGTATGTGCAGAAAGCAAAAGGGGAAGAAATGGAATATTGTCAAGGAGAACACGAGCGTTTTTGTTGTTTCCCCGGAACGCAGACGCTCCTTTTTCGGTGTCGAAGTGAACGCTCGATAAATAATGCTAATTAAGTGACTACGCACACGAAAATCCAAAAAACCGTAATTTTCCTATACTCCTGAAAGGCTCTGCTTTCTGGTGTCTTGTCAGGGAGGTTTCATTCATCACCAAATAGTTGATCCAAATGTTCGAACGCTAAAAACGGAAACAGCCGGTACACGTGCGCAAGAAACAGGTGAAAATGGGCTTTTGGCCTCGGCGCCGACAACACCCAGGCAATTCCACGTGAAGTAGAATATTTGTAAATTGCTTTGTATTGATACTTCGTATATACAACATGACGGTACAACAAGTTGACATCAGCAACTATGAATTGATTCACAGAATCTTCCTTACGTTTTCAAGTAAGTCAAAAGTTAACGGCTAACTTGGGATTTCTGCTATTCGATACTAATTCGAGTGAACTATTTTGCTATTTTTGCACCATGCTAGGCTTAAATTAGGCAGTGCAAAATGTGTTTTGCAGCATATAAAAATTAAGTTTTAGTCCTCTTCACATTCATCAACGTCTACGGGTTATATGTCGTCTGGACAGCAACACCGAGACGCATCGGCAGCTACAAAAATTATATGCTCCTGCTTCAGGTAGTGAAACGTGCCCTATCGTTGAAAATATATTTCAGTTTAATGGCGTCGTTTACGATTTTGTAATGGCAATCCTAATATTCCCGATCTGCGCTATGCCAGCGGGTGGTGGATATGGGTTTGGATTACTTGCCGATTTCGGCGTATCCATGAAAGTGCACGTGGTACGGATTGTATCGCTATGTCATTAACACGGAATTTTTTCAAGCCAATTGGTGTCTTGTGCGCGACATGTTTTCTGGTATCGATTGGCTTGGCCTTTTTCGCTCGTCAGCAAGCTGTCTTAACCGATGGACACCCCCTAAAATTCACGTAAACCGACTCAAAAATGTAAAATTTGGAATAATTAGGAACACAGCCTTCTTGCAGCTTCTATTTGGATTCCACCCATTCTGGCTAATTTGCCCGCTAGCCATACTTTGCATGATACTCGTCGATACGGAGCGGGCTCAGAGGTTTCATTACACGGTTGGCTGGCTCATAAATATATTTAATTACTTTACAATTCGGTATTGTTTTCCTTGAATGTGATATTTTTAGCAATATCCCAACATGATGGCGTTTTTTACGCATCCAGGATATTGGGCCGTACCTATAGAAGATACGTTGCACGTTGGAGGGCCGGTTTTGGCATAGAAGCTTGAGCATACAGGTTAAAAACGTTTGAATTTGGGTTCTATACTGATAACGGGGTCCTTACATTTTAACGGGGTCCTTAAAAATTATCGGGGTCCTTAGATATTATCGGGGTCCTTAAAATTAGGTCGAAAAAAAGTTAAGGACTCCGTTAAATAACGGGGTCCTTAAAAATTGATGAAAAAAATTAAGGACTCCGTAGCTAAAGCTAAAAAATAGTATTTGTGTGTGCCAATCTGCATACAAGTTCCGTCACCATGTCCGGAGGATATCTCGATAGCCGATGAATTTTAAGGTATGTATGATAAGTTATTTGATCCGTACTAGCCGTGAGATGACTGCACACTGACCAGATTTTACAAAATCAGTTCTTTTAGACATTAAATTTAAGTGTTTGTAAAAATTTCCGGCATCGACTTTGTTAGGAAACAATTAGCTTTTCGATTTCGACTGGCCGGCGGACGGCCTTTTAATCAGTCATCGATTTAGCATTCCTTCACATTGCTAAAACAATGAAAAAAGCTTAAAATTCAAGAAAAAATCCGGATAAAATTTCAACATCGAATGTTTCGTAAATGCTATGGCCTACTTTCACTGGGTTTCTAATAGAGATGTTACGCATACCGACGCGACGTTGGGATAAAATGCAAATTAGGATGCAAGGCGCAAAAAATCGTCTTATCAAGCTTGTTTTGGACTTTGCATCCCAATTTGCATGTTATCCCGACGTCGCGTCGGTATGCGTAACATCTCTAGTTTCTAATTAAGGTGCCACGAACTTTGCGGCCGAAGATGGCGGCGCGGTGCTTGTTAGGCACATGCCTTTGGTTATTTTTTTGTCTGCATCCGATTTTCGTCATAGAAACGTTAAAAGACTGTTTTGCGACAGGAGTCACATAGACATAGAGGAGTCCGGACATGGTCCCGGAACTTGTATGCAGATTGGCACACACAAACCTAATTTTTCGACCTAATTTTAAGGACCCCGATAATATCTAAGGACCCCGATAATTTTTAAGGACCCCGTTAAAAATTAAGGACCCCGCAAAATTTAAGGACCCCGTTAAAATTTAAGGACCCCGATATTTTTTAAGGACCCCGTTAAAATGTAAGGACCCCGTTATCAGTATAGAACCTGAATTTGAATATCCTCTTTGAGGCCCTGACGTTTATCCTCCTCTTTGCCTTCCCGATGTCATGGTTTGGATTCTTATTTGCCACGAAGAATTCTACTTGGCCTGGTACCGATTTCAAGTTATCAGTGCCAAAAATTCTCATACATAAAAATCAACCCAGGAAATTGTACGGTTTCAGTCTACTCAATCTGGGCTTCCGTAATGATGTCAATACATGGAACAGCTTCTACGATTGAATTATTTATCTTTTATGAGCCATATCGAAGATTCCTCTCAAAGATGTTAGGTGTTTGGAAGAAAAACGTGGCCGAGCCGACGAGCATCATCGTCACGGCCACAGCGCCAAACCGCGGATAAAGTTTTGGAATACCACAGTTTGAATGTAAGACCACACTGAATTGATTTTTTCATAATAAGTGCGTTGCAAAAAAGCTTAATAACGGTCCAAATTACCAAAAAACATACCCACCCAATGACTGAATGTAATGAAAGTAGCAGGTGAATTCCATCCGTCCTTGTGGGGCTGGCCTCGACCTTCCGAACCCGCGGCATATTGAACCATTATTGTTGCCTAAAGTGTAATTTTCCAAATAAAAGTGCTACTAACTCCTTTGAACTTGTTTATGGATGTCGCCGCGATACAACAAATCGACATCAGCCATTATCCGACGATACATAGAATCTTCCTTACATTATCGGGTAAGATTTATGTCAGATATCCCTATCGAAAACAGTATTTCCTGAAAATATTGATTCTTCAGATAAAGTAAAAGCAAGAAAGAACTACAAAAAGGTAATCAGAACTCAAAGACAAATAGTTTCGAAATTATAACGGGTGCGAACCCGAGCGCGGGGAGACTCGAATGGACCTCCGATTACGGTCACAGGACGCGGGCTAGGGTGCGACAGGCAGGGCCGGACCCGGCCGGGGAACAACGTGCTTTTCATTTTTCACCAACTTTTCAAAACTTTTGTCCTTACATGGCATCGTTTAGTAATCTTCACCTTCGTAAATGTCTACCGGATTATATGCAGTCTGGTTAGCCTATGGCGAGGCCTGGATCCATGTCTAATCTCTGGATACCACTGGTTCATATCTTAATGAAAGTGACCTCTAGTGAGTGTGATCAAATTTTCGCCGCTTTTTTTCTAGGTATCAACTAAAAACCGATATTTCCCAACCCCGCGCCTCTCTACCGTAACCAAATGTTGATGCCCCGTTCAAACAGACCATCCCCCTAGCATCGAATCATTGAACTTTTGTGAGCAAATAGAGAGCACCGAGGGGAGAGACACAAAACTGAAGAAGGTTTCCCTTCGACTAGGTACGAGTGAGTCAAGCTGTTCGTGAGAAATCACAAAATTTGATGCGTGCAGACGGGTAAATAGGTAAATAGAGTAGCGCGCCGGAACAAAGACCGCGATTATGATACTATGAAGGAGGGTTGCGAAAGTTGGTGCGTTAGAGGATTAAACAAAAATGAATGGAAGTGGTTGGATTTTGACGATGCATAGGACTGTAAAGACATAAACATACACTTATGTAGAGTTGCTCTCCACATGTCGGAAAGTTTTGCAGAAAATCTATATACAAAGATTTACCGGTCTTACGCGATAAGAAAATAAGTAGATGGCAATAGGTAATAAACCTCTACGACGATCAAATTAACCCTTTGAAGCTATGGATGTGAAAGTACGAGTTTTGTACTTCCTTTCTCTCTTTTTCAACGCTCGCCGTTTGAAAGAGAGCGCTAAATAGAAAATTGGCCACTATATAGCAGTGACCACTGGCAAGCCGGTAGCCAGTGGAGACGGGTGACGCTAGAAGGAGTTCCTGCTCATTTAGCTGCGCGTTGCATTTTTCTGTCGTATTCCGCTAGCCCGAATCAGCTAAAAATGGATTCTGCATCGACGAAGCTACTAGCGAAGGTATTTTTCAGATGCCAAAGATGCTAAAGCGTACCTTTGAAAATCGCAAAAACCAGCGTTTTGTCCTAGTGGTTAACAGATAAATCCAGAAAGCTTTAGGCATCTATGGCATATCTAGGTCTCCTTAGCACCCCAGCAACACTTATTGTTCAAAACCAGGTGGTCATCAATAACAGTGGAAAATCCGGCTAAATCCGGATAAACAAATGAGCTTTTTTGTTGTTGCTGATATCAGCTGTATCTTTGTTGCTCGTCTTTTAAAGTAAGGGTCTCCAAGAATTGCCCCCCGGAAATGATTCCAAACCGCA